CATATGGAAACTTTCTAATGAATTTACTGGTGGTAATCAAAATACTATTGTTCCCTCGTTTGATGTAAATATCCTTAATCAGTTTATCATACGTTTTCTTGTGAACGTTGCCATTTTCTAATGTTGTGAATCACAAGGCTAGTAACTTTAATGACCTTAATGTTCTTGATATACTCATCTGCGTGAAATCACTAAGACCTTCCCACAGCCTTTGTCCTCATGCTAGTATTATTATTGCTCCCTTGGGTTCCTAGTGAAACATAGGGCTTCAACTGCACATCTCCACTTGCTTCTGTCTTCTGCTGTACTTTACACCTGCATCCATGTTAGTCCATACTGTTTCAGCTCCTCTTCACACGATCTCCTCCATGCCACCCTTGGACGTCCCACTCGCCGCTTCCCTTTCGAGTTTCACTTGAGGGCCTGACGCGCGATGTCACCCAGCGGCCAAAAATTGGTAGACAGAAATTTACGTCAGTGTTTATTTCCCAAATAGAGGTCATGAGAAAAAACAATAACAAAGACTAACTTTAAGGAGCTCAACAACCAATCACAGAAGACTTAACGTGCGCAAATACGATTCTCAGATATGTGGCTTAACACTCTAAGAAACAGTCACAAGCAGTACAGAATAACCTTCAGTAAGAAAACAACCAATCAGAAAGCGTTGCTTCTCTGCTAACAATAAAACTAATAACAATGTACGTAAAGATCTATAAATATCTGTTGATTTTCTGAATAAACTATCTGTTTCCTGGACCTTATCTTCTGTCATTACACTATTATTTCCTTGTATTCTTATTGGAGCACAATATCTTCTGAATATTTTTTCCAGCACACACTACGATTGCCAGATTCAGATTCAGATTCAGATTCAGATTCAGATGATAAGGATAGAAGGCTCTTGTGGCCTGTGTTAATCCTTGCAAAGTATATCTCTGCAGAGATCTAACTTCTCTTTGAAAGCGTTCACCGATGGAGCTGATACTACTGAATCAGGTAAGGAGTTCCAATCGTTGACCACTCTGTGAGAGAATCTAAATTCTGCACGTATTTTAATCGTCCTTGGTTTGAGCACCTTTTTGCGGTGACCCCGTAAATGTATCCTAGAAGGGGAGAAAAGGTTAGAAAGGTCAGTTCCTAAATCACCCTTAAGTATACGGTATGCCAAAATTAAGTCGCCTCTCTTCCTTCGGTATGATAACGGGAAGAGATTTAAATGCTCCATCCTCTTATCATAAGGAAGGTGTGAGATACCACTAACTAATTTTGTTCCTACTCTCTGTACTCTTTCCAGAATATGTGCCTCCTTTTTGAAGCATGGACTCGTCGCTTGTATGCAGTATTCTAGATGAGGCCTGACATATGTTGCGTAGAGTATTTGGAACATGCCCTCGTCTAATCGTTTGAAAGCCCTTCGAATTGCCCATAGCATTCGAAAAGCTTTAGCTGCGGCTGCACTGCAATTTGCAGTTGTTTTCAAATCGTTACTGACAATGATTCCTAGGTCCTTCTGTTCTTTGACATCAGGTAGTTCTGCATCCCCTAGGGAGTACGACGTATAAGACTTCTGACCTAAGTGCATTACCGCGCTTTTCCTAGCATTCATTTCCAAACTCCATAGGCTTGACCACTCAGCTAATTTATCTAAGTCATTTTGTAGGGCCAACCTATCCTCGTTATTGTTTACAGTTTTCCATACCTTAATGTCATCTGCAAATAATAATGAAGATGAAGAAAGAATCCCTGGTAATTCGTTAACGTATAATAGGAATAGCAAAGGACCTAATACAGTTCCCTGGGGCACTCCACTGGATACTGCTTTCCATCCTGATAGTACACCATTAACTCTAACCTTCTGCCTTCTATCCATTAAGTAATCTCTAAACCACTCACATAGGCATTGGTCTAGTCCGAAACCTTTCAGTTTACCTTGAGCTTTTATCTCCTCGTCAAATGATCTCCTTCATTTTGCACTCAGATCTCCGCCCAACTCATCATTTTCAAACCGGTTTCCATTCGACGGGTAGGGCTTCCACATAACTGGAAATGTTTATTTCCCGATACGAATATAAAACAAGCAACATAAAAGTTAATAAAGCATGATTTCATCAATTCATCAAACTTCAAACTGTGTACATCAGCTTCAGTGTGTTTTTAGAAGCGAACACATATGTAACGACAAAAGACAAGGGCCAGGCAGCAGATCGTTTATTGAGAAAATCAAGAGATATCTATAGATTTGTATGTATATTATTATTCGTTATTGTTAGCAGCGAAACAGCGTCTTCTGATTGGTTGTTTTCTTGCTGAAGGTTATCCCGTACAGCTTGTGACCGTTTCCTAGAGTGTTAAACCATACATCTGAGAATCGTATTTGCATCGAGGTAATTTTTTGTTTACCATTTTGGCTAGCAGATACCTCTCACCACACATAGATCGTACAAAAAGGCGATCGTCAACTCGTATAATCGAGCATTTACCAAAGTGGCTGAAAACAGCCGAGGTCAATGTATTAAAAAGCCGACTAGAAAAGCATCTTGTAGACGACGGACGTGATAATGACTCTGTCAAGTCATTCACTGTTGTCAACAGACAAACAAACAAGAACATGCTAGCTATTATGGAGGCTTGTACAATTAGAGTTTATAAACCGAGTTTCTGTATAAAAAAAGGAAATGGTAGCCACTCTGAATCTACCAAGGTATTATTTTATTTATTTATTAACTGTTATTGCTGTTATTATTATTATTGAAATTTGATTCTACCTCTTATTATTACTATTACCGATTCACATAAAACTATCGTTTATCAGGAACATGATCTTAACTCTTTCTGACATTATTATTATCATTATTAATATCATTAGCATTTCTATTATTATCAATATCATTTACTTCAAAATTTTTTTTGATTTACAGCTTGATTCCACACTGTATTTTTGGTACAAGTATGGAATTTTCGGCGTGGATATCGGTAGCCCAAATTTTGCAGGCCGACCATAAATATCAGGTGTGCGCCGACGTGGGATTGAACCCCGGACCATGTGCATGGTCAGCAAGAGTCCTAACCACTGTGCCACCGACGCACATCAGTCTTATGTATCTCAATGTAACTCTAATGGTATATACATATATACCCCTGTATTTTGATGTAGTTGTGTTCTCTGAGCTGGATAGTTAATTTGCGAAGCTTTCATTGCCCTACTAGGCAAAATCTGGTCTGTGTGAGTCGATTCTTTATAGAAAATCAACTCACACAGACAAAATAGTCAATTACAACAGTAACGACCCAATAACAGACAAAAAGGGTTGTATACAAATACTATTCAAGATGGACAGGACCCATTGCAGCACTCCCACCTCAGAGAAAATGGAAGAAAGATATCTCATGGACGTCTTCCAAAAGAATGGATATCCACGGAATTTCACCAAAAGACCTTTATCCCCAAGCCAACCTATCAAACCAAAAGCCCCCAAAGAAAGCACAAAAAAATCGCTTTACCATATATAAAGGATAACTCAGAAATCACTAGAAGACTCTTCAAACCTTTAGAAATTAACGTCGTACACAAACCAACAAAGTCACTTCACTCAATTCTATGTCAACCAAAAGACTCAACAGCGAAAGAAGATAAAACCGACATCATCTACAAAATCAATTTTAACAACTGAGAAAAACACTACATTGGCCAAAGTGGACGTCCCCTTCGTCTTCGTATCCACGAACATAAGTTAGCCGTCAAAAGACATGATATCCACTCCCTCATATCACTACATACAGACAACCACGGACACCAATTCGACTGGGACAACGTTCAAATATTAGACAGAAGATACACCAAGAATTCTAGACAATTTTGAGAAGCCTGGTATTCTAGTGAATCGTCAGTCAATAGACACATCAAGATAGACAAAATTTATCAACCAATAAGAAAGAAACTTCACACACAAAGGGTCAAAGTTCAAATCAAAGAAACAGACAGTTCCAACACAAGTAACCTAGAAGGTGTGAAAACACAGGAGGACAACCAATCCCGTCCAAGGTCACCAGGAGAGATGATTAATAAACTCTTGGAGAAATCTGAAAGCTCACTTCAAATTGAAGTATGCGCTGAAGATGTCACCCAGTAGGGTGATGAAAGCTTCGCAAACTAACCATCCAGCTCAGAGAACACAACCACATCAAAATCATCCACCTGAGCTACAAATCCTCACCATCATATCAATACCCCTGTATGTAGAGTATTCAGCTTATAGAGACAAATCAATTTAAACCAGTCGATTTCTAGTTGGCTACTTGGGCAAACTACTGAGACTATTAAATGAAGCTGAGATTGATGATAACATTAGTAATACGCCTGTCCCCATGAGGACGAAATAGATTAGTAACAATCACTGAATTCAGTTTCAAATATAAAAGGATCAGTCACACAAGATCTTTAATTACTGATGAAGATAATACATTGCTGTGAGTATATCTGTTTTCGGCATAGAGCTTTGCACTGATGTGCAGCAGTTCAAGTGGCCACACTCCCTCCTTATAGCACACAAGGCAAGAGAAGAAAGTAGAAGAAACGCGTAATAGAGACAGTAAACAGAGATGGGAAGCAAAAGGAATAGTAATAACGAAGAACAATACAGTTCCAATGGAAATTATAAGTCACAAGGAATGGATGCATCTTCCGTAGCCATTGAGAACGATGAGTTTGAGCCATGTCACCAATTGTTTCCAACCATTGCTTTTTACCGTCCCGAGGATCCCAACCAGTCAGGAAGTCTACACCTCCCTACATAACTAGCTTAAACTAACTGTTGTGGATTTCATTGACTGATGAGGTCATGTTTTGGTTTGACCGCCGCTAGCTCTTTTCCAGCCTGACCCTATGTCAGTCAACTAACACTGCCAGACGGTCAAGGAAGGCGGTGGCATACGTAATACATGTCGTAATCATCTAAGTCAATGTAGCTTCACAGCCTCATCGATTGAATTCCCCTCCCACCTACCTAGCACTCGACCGACGCCTTACCTCAATATTGCTCACCCTGTTATACCACTTCACACGAGAGACAGAACGCAGACATCTATGATCAAAGACAGCTAGACCTCCAGTCTTTTCATGTCCTCCACCCTCGATGAAATACACTGCAATTCCACTTCCATCTTCCTTACACAAATACATGCATGAATAAACTTTGAGCTTTTCTTAGAAATTTTGCCGATCAAAGTCTATTCATCATTCGAGTACACAGAGAGTAAAATAACAAAAATAAAACACAATATGCGAAACATTGAACACCTAATTATATATATATATGCATATATATATTTACAAGTAATTAATATTACTTATTATCATAATTCCAAAAAAGAAAGAAAAATATATCATCATTGTATCACAAAAAAGAACAACGAGTTATCGCACTTTGTAAATCACCGAAAACAAAGTGATAAATAGAAGTTTGATTGACTTGTTGAATTTATCCACATGATGAGTTTGTCCATTTGTGTTTGTGTGTGTGTGTTTGTAGGTGGGTGAGTGTATGTGTAGGCGTTTGCAGATGTCCTCACTAACATATCACAGTAGAATATGTAGATAACTTCTAACAAATGCTTCGATAAGAAATAATAAATCAACAGATGTATCCCAATGGATAGCCGACGCATTGTCTCCAGTTGTATGCCATACTTTAGGAAATGGAACTGGAATCAGATGAAGGATAGGGACACCTGGAAAATAAAAGAAGACATACATTATTAGAATGTAGTTATCCGATCAAGGGGATAGTGAATCAGACTTTGTGTTTAAGGCAGTACTCACCCGACCCCCCTTGGAACTCAAGGGTTGTAGGCGTCGTAGGCGTAAGCTCATACACCACATATCCACTTATAAAGGATATATAGCATTATTACGATTGTCTTGGATTCGCAGTGCAACATACGGGCTTCAGCAAACATATCTGCATTTCCTATCCTGTTATCTGCATTCCGCTTTACCTGGATACACGACTGACGATAAGCTGGCGTATCCTCCTTACACGATTTTCATCATGTCATCCTTGGAAACACACCCAACCTTCCGTTTTATATTTGGATTCCATTCAAGATTCCACCTGGCGCGCAAAGTCACTCAGCATCCTTCTCAGAGACATATAGCGTGATTGCAGCGACAGAAGATATTTATGGATTTTTATGTACATTATTATAGGTTATTGTTAGCAGAGAAACAGCGTTTTCTGATTGGTTGTTTTCACGCTGGAATTCAATCTGTCATCTCTTTGTGGCCATTTATTTGAAGGTCAGAACATATATATGCGAATCATCCCGCCCACGCAAAGTCTGCTGTGACTGGTTGTTAAGTTAGTCTTTGTTCTTGTTTTTTTTCTCATGACCAAGATTTCGGACGTAAACACTGACGTAAATTGCTGTCTACCAATTTTGAGTAGCAGACAGCTCTCACCACATGATGATTAGGAGAGAAATATGACAATATTCATAATAGGGGAAGAATAACTTAGAAGAGATAAAGAATAATTTCATTGAACAGTACAGTAATGAAGACTTTTAAGATATTCCAAGATGTTTAAGGCAGCCTTTTAGTAAATTCATCATCATGTAGACGTGATTAGTGAAGGGAAGACTCAGTTGAATAGACTGGAGTGTATATTTCCAACAAGAATGAGAAAAAGAGGAAATAAAGGCGTATCGATAAAGTGACCCACACAACAAAGAAATCATACAACACACTAATCCGAATAGTGGCATTAACGAAGACGATAAGATTTTACTGACTGTCTCACTTGCCATCTGCAAAATGTTTATTATAAACAACAACTCATGGTATATTGATATACAACTCAAATACACTAGATTTGTTCGAGCATTCAGGCCCCGTATAAGTCAATCAACAGGAAAGACAAATTCACTCTAAACCGGCAAAAATTGGTACCTAATGCACAAGGGGTGGTTTTCACGCTCCACTGCGTAACGCTTCAGCATTCGAAGCTATCGGTGCTAGGTTCGAGTCCCAACATCGCTTACTCGGGGATGCTAGCATATTCAACTGACGATTCACATATAGGACGAAATGAGCATTTTGAATTCCACTGCTAGTTATCATAAACCAAATAACATAATTCTTTGTGTTTAAATAATTTAGAAATAGACTTTACGTTATTAAATATAAAATGTAAATCTTAGTTAATAGAGTGACAAAACAGATATCTGAATGATTGAGTCTCACCAAAGAACTATGCATAGAAGTGCACCAGTCCAAGTTGCTACAACCAAATATAGCACAGAAAGGTAGAGAAAAGAAAACACGAAATTCAAAAAACTCAAATGAACAGAAATGTACGGGAGGAAGAATAGTGACATACACACATTTAAGGATTTTTATGGATCCCAGAGATTACAAAGGATGAACGTATCTGAACCACTGGGAACAAACTTTGAGTCGTATAACCAAAAGTCTAAAGGCATTGGTTCTTGAAGCCGCCAGAACCGTCTACATGACTCCAGGTGACTGGCTCTAGCCAACAAAGAAAGACTTGATGGACTGAAACCAGGTTTGAATTTCACCACCTCAAGCTCTTTTTCAACCTAATCCAATGTCAGCTAGTGTTGCTCAACATGGAAAGCGGTTATTCGATATGTACTACACGTGTCTTGCTCATCTCGATCGTTGTAGCTTCGCAATCTACTTACCTATCACGTCACACCCAACGTCAGTATTACTTAGCATATTAATACCGCTTAACATAGAAGATAGAACCCATGTAACACACCTATTAGTTGATTTAACTGCAATTGTATGACAAAAAGTGGATGATATATTTACAAACGTCTTGAAAGTATGCATTCTATTGTGGCTTTCCTCTAACTTTTTTCGCTGGGAATTGGTTTGTGTAACACTGATGCCTTTTATTACAGTGAAGTGATAACAGAACTATGGCAAAGATAAACGTTCAGGTCTCAATATCGGTAGGCACTTATCAGTCTGATGTTTGGTGAGATTAATGAAATCAGTCATGTGATAATGTTGAGTCTAGTGACATCAGATGCAATCGGTAAAAAGTCACTGTCATTCTCACATTGTTTTCACGAGTTCGGTTTAACAGCCTTACACTCAACCTTTCCTTTTTTTCTGCGCTTACCATGGGCCAGTAAACTAGGCTAGGTGTACGAGTGGGCCAGCCGGGGTATCGAACCTGGACCACGTATGTGGGTGGCCGGCATTCTGCTACTGAAGCGCTGATGAGCATATATTACATTACTCATTTCAATATTTTGCCTAAGTGAAAAGAAGATTGCTTGTCCTAGGTCTGTTTACTGGAAACGTGTTTTGTTTGATTCGATTCTTGTGAACACACAGGTTTTGGTCCTATTATGTCGGCAGGTTCCACGATTGGAATCCCTGTCTGTTTTCTGTTTTCAACAAATATATGAGGCAGTTCAAGTCGCCACACTCCCTCCTTGTAGCACACAAAGCATGAGAAGAAATGCAAAATAGAGACAGCAGACAGGGATATGACACAAAGGAATGGTAATAACGAAAAAAATATAGTTTCATTGGAAATCATAAGTCACAAGGAATGGATACATCTAGACTAGCCATTGAGAACGATTTTGAGCCATATCACCAATTGTTTCCAACCATTGGTTTTTACCGTCCCGAGGAACCCAACCAGGAAGCCAGTCTACACCTTCTACGTGGCTGACTAAAACTAACTGTTGTTGATTTCATTGACCAGTACCATGTTTTGGTTTGACAACCGACAGTTCTTTCCCAGCCTGACCCTATATCAGCTAACATTGTCCATCAAGGAAGTCGATGACTAGGCATACGTAACACATGTCCTAACCATCTCAGTCGATATAGCTTCACAGCCCAGTCGATTGATTTCCCCTCCCACCTACCTAGCACTCAACCAATGTCTAACCTCAATATTACTCACCTTATTATACCACTTCACACGGGAAATAGAACGCAGGCACCTATGATCAAAGACAGCTAATCTTTTCATGTCTTCCACTCTCAATGGCTAGGTCTCACAGCCATCGATAATCGAGGACGGTATAGACTGCTGAGCAGTACACACGCTCTTTGGTCGATAGCCGGATATCACGTCTACGCCAGAGACGGCATAAACTGGCATATGAGAAACTAGCCCCTGTATCCGTGCTGAGATTTCGTCAGAGATCAACCCGTTGGCACTGGCTGATGGTACTTCCAAAATAAGTGAAGCGGTGAACGTGCTCTACCACTTCACTTCCTAATCTTAAGCTAGGAGTCGCTGTTGTCCAGTCCTGTAACATTGGAATCCCAGTAAGAAACAACAAGTGAGTTGTTCGAGTGTGACATGGAGGAGATCGTGTGACGAGATGAGATATTATTGCCAGTCGTGGAGTCGAATGAAGAGGACAACAGAAAATGGGACAAAATGGAGATGTGTTTTCGAAACCTTATATTTCACTCGGAAACCAAGGGGATAATAATAATATAGTCGGAAATATTCTTGTTTGGTTAATTAATGCTATTGTATAGTGAACATTCTGTACCTGAGAAACCTTTAAACTGTATGGTTGCCTAGCGGCGTTGTTCAGGTAATTATGAATTCTTGATATAACTTAGTATTAGTTAATAGTACCAATGCTTTTATCATGTTAAGTGCTGTTTTGATATTGTTAGAATATAAATATTTGAAACACACAATGTCTGAGAGCTGCATATCACAACAACAAGTACACATTTTGATGTAGTTGTGTTCTCTGAGGTAGATTATTTAGTTTATCAGATATCTGTCCCAGTAATCTTGAGTGTGACTGGTTGCTTCTGCATATTTCTTTACCCTCCAGCCCACTTGTATTGGTATTGATTATTTTGTTAACCTGAAAGTTGACTCAACACCAAAGGAGACAAAACCAATATCATCTACAAAATAAATTACAAGGGCTGTGAAAAATGTTACAGTGGTCTAAGTGCATACCCTAATCGCCTTCACATCCCTAAACATATATTGGCCATCAAAAGACATGACATCCATCTCCTCATATCAATGCATGAAGACAACCACGGACACCAATTTAATTGGAAAAATGTACAAATCCTAGACAAAAGAAACACCAGAAATATCAAGGAATTTCTAGAAGCCTACTATCCAGACAGATCTGGAATCAACAGACACATCGACGTAGTCAAGATTTACTAATCAATAAAAGGTCAGAATTGAAGTCAATAAAATAGTCAACACCAGTACACAAATGGACTAGAGAGTGAGAAATATCCAAAAACAACCAATCAAAGTTAAGAGCCACCAGGAAGGATAGCTGATAAACTCGTGAAGAATTCTAAAAGTTCATTTTAAATTGGAGTATGTGCTGATGACAATTTCCAGTGATTCACCGAAGAGACTGTTTCCTACAACGAATTTATTATCAAACTGTACAATCGTATATATATGGTTTTTTTAAGAAATTATATCCGGTGAGGGAATTGAATCATAGGTGTGAATGCATAAAATATAAAACTCTGAAGAGATCAATTTATCTAAAGCTGTCATGGAATGTTCACCTGACAAATTTCTATAGCTGGGTACCCACTGGTCTAAAACGAAACCTGATATGGTCGCCTATCACTCGTATTCGGCACATATGTAACCCTGATACCGTGGAGGATGAGTTAAATCTTTTTTGAGGAAATCCCGATAGAAAATGGATCTCCACCATGTTTTATAGACAAGAATATATATTCGAATCCTTTGAAACGTGATTTATCATCTGCACCCAAGAAAATACTGTACATGACCTTGGAATTCAAAGGTGACTTAGCTTCCGATATCATGAAAAAAGGACATGCCCTGCTGTATCTTTGAGAATAGCCTTTACTAGTCGATCATTACTGTTCAATAACCTGAAGGACAAGATCCCTCTGATGACCAACTCTATGCGGGTTTATCAACTCAGCTGCTCGTATGGAGCTAGATATGTCGGCCTGTCGACTCGAGTTTGACCTAAGAGGGTGCAAGAACACTATCCTGCATGGTTATGAAAAGGTGGAAGTGGAGCAATAAGAAGCGCGTTCATTGAACATCTACTCGATAATGATCACCCCATCTCTATAGCCTCCATCTTTAAACTCATCTACAAGGCAAAAAGTAATTTACCAAAATCACTACGTACCCAACTCATCCGTATTGCTGAAGCTTTGGTTATCGAAACAGAAATACCAGATCTCTGAGTACAGAAAATGTTCGTCCAACCCCTCCAAATTTCATGGTTTTAATCCCTCTATGCTAAAAATATGGTATTCCCCAATCATATTTTAGCTCTACCAATTTTTCATTTTTTCATTTTGTCTATTCAGTTTGTATACTCTTCCTTATTAAGTCAATTATTATTATTACTATTCTCACTTTGAACTGTCCACGGTATTATTTCACTCGTTCCATTTGTCATTCTAAATCAATTCTTTTTTACAACGATAAATTCTATGCTATTAAATTTCACACAATATTACGTAACGTTTTTGTTTTATTCGATTTGCCTACTAATCCTATAATTGCACAACCCTTCCAAGTTCTATACATTTTATGAATTATTCTATTAAATGACATTAATTGTTTTGCCACTTGACATTTAACTATGATTATATAAGCGCAAATATTTTAATTGCATTTCATACCACAATTATTTTATGCATGCACTCCTATCATTCGATTCCCTCACCGAATATAACGTCCTAAAAACCATATATATACGATTGTACATCTTGATAGTAAATTCGTTGTTGGAAAGAGTCTCTTCACTGAATTACTTATTTTGATTTTCTACGTGTTACTGAGGTGAGAGCTGACTGTTAGCCAAATTGCTGGACAGTAATTTACGTCAATGTTTACGTCCTCAATATTGGTCGTGAGAAAAATGAGAACAAAGGCTTTACGTAGGCAGATACAATTAGCATATAGATGATCTAATAATCAAGGAACAGCCACAAGGAGATGCAAGGTTAACTTTCTGTGAGAAACAACCAATCAGGAGACTGTGTTTTTCTGCTAACAATAATCTATAATAATGTGCATGAAAATCTATAAATATGTGTTGATTTCCTTAATAAACGAACTGTTGCCTGGCCCTTGTCTTCTGTTGTTACATTACAATGACAGTTTTCTATGGCTGTCTAGTAAGACAATTGCAAGCTTCACAACTAAAACATTCGACGCCTAGAGAACACAAATAAATACTGAAATCATCCATTTGAGCTACAAATCTCTTCACCACTATTATCATCTAATTCTACACACACGAATGCAAAACAAGACGTGAACTATTGATGATTATTTTCAAGTTTCATTATTATTATTGTTATTTTTTCCTTTAATTCCAAGAGAAACATAGGGCTTCAGCCATTGCTTTTGGTTCTCTGCCAACGTTTTCACTCCGCCCAAGTCTGCCCACATGCTTTTATCTCCTCTTCACATGACCTCCTCCAAGTCACCCTTGCACTGACGACCAACTCGCCGATTCCCTTTCGGATTCCACTCGAGCAATGGCTTGTCAAGTGATGTCACTTGATGGGTTGTTTCCTCAAAGTATGGCCAATCCATCTCCATTTCTTCCTGCATATTTGTTGCACAATCGGTTCCTGCTGAGTTGGTTCGCTCATTGCCAGAGATCCCTGTTACTGATCTTTTCTGCCTGGCCATCTGATCTTGAGTGGTGTTGAGCGAAGACAACTGTTAATGAAGATCTGAAGTTTGTTTGAGATACTCTTTATGACGCACTGGCCAAGTCTCTGATCCATCCATATAGTAGCACTGACTTCACATTGGAGTTGAAAATCCGGATTTTATTTTAGATGCTGAGTGCTGTTGACCTCTACACAGACTTGAGATTAATGAAAGCTTGTCTTGCTTACCCGATTCTTGCTTTGATGTCCTCGTCCGCCTGTAGTTGAAACGATGCTTCCCAGGTAGGTAAAGGATGTTGTTTCCTCCGGGATCCTCCTATTTATGCTGGCTGATTGTTGTCTGTTGTTGTTCCTGTTGCTGTTAGCCAAGAATCTCCATCACCTCTGTTTTCTCTATGTTCACCTGAAGGAAGTCCTATCTTTGGTGCTTCTTCTGCCAAAATAAAATAAATTGTGATAAACAGATACATGCCATTATAAAAAGAATAAACGAATTATTATTACTAATATTATTGTCTTCAAAAATATTGTTTTTTAAAAACTTTACAAACCTCGTTTAAGAAATGGTAAATGATCATCTGAAATTATCTGATCTAGACGACTTCCAAAAAACGGTCCTTTATATGGTCCAAAAGATTTCAGTAGATTTAATGATCTCATTTTCTTTTCTAATAAAAAGAGAACCGATGACGATAAAAATAAACATAACAGAAATAGAAACGAATCACTAATTAAAACGAAAGTCATAATAACAATAAAGATACAAAAGATTGCTTAAAGTTGGCAGTTCGCTCTGTCCTCCTTTGTGGCTGGCAGGCTGGCTGTGAGACATGGCCATTGAAAGTGGAAGACACGAAGAGGAGGCTAGCTGTCTTTGATCATAATAGGTGTCTGCATTCTCCCGTGCTGGGTAGTAGTATGGTGAGAACTGTCTGCTAACCAAAATTGTAGACAACGATTTACGTCAATTTCCTGGAATAATTTGAGCGCCGAGTCAGATTGATTCATTATAAATTATTTAAATTAATCCCAGCGTGTTAAGAAAATCAAAACAATCAGCAGATTTTTATCTGCTGAAGAAGCTGTGGCTTACACGGCGAAACGTTCAGAAAAATCTTGTTTTGAATTTACGTCAATGTTTACGTCCTGAATCTTGGTCATGACAAAAAAAACAAGAACAAAGACTTTGCGTGGGTGGATACGATTCGCAGATGTATGGTCTGACCATCAAAAAAACAGCCACAATAGGGATGACAGAATAACTTTCAGCGAGAAAACAACCAATCAGAAGACGCTGTTTCTCAGTTAATGATTACGAATGATAATATACATAAAAATATATAAATATCTTTTCTGTCGTTACGCATATACCTAAATGTCAAACTTTCTCAAACTAATAAATATGAACTTCGTTTAAAACATATATAAACATTAAAATGTCCTCTTTCTTCTAGAAATAGTTATTTAAAGTTATTTAAAGTAAATGCCTTAAGTGTTGAGGATCCTAAAAATATCCCAGAAAATCTGTCATAACTTTAAACATTTCATTTCCGTAATACATCTATCTGGTTATCAGGCCTAACGTCATTACTTAAGACTACAAATACTGTGATGAGGTTAAAATTACATTTGACATTTTAAAGAATTGCGTGGTGTTTTTCCAAAATTTAAATTCATGTCATTATAAAGACATGATATTCTTATTGGACAATCTTTGACTTCATAGACAACCAAGCAAATTAATTTATTCCATTAGTGACGTAACCTACTTCTATGTGTATGTTAGAAATGTATGTATACGCTATGTAGTTTTGTCTACAAAATGTTGTTCATACAGTAACAAGCCGATCAGTTTTTGTCTCCTGATATCCTTATGATGCATTGAAGCAGGTGGTATTCAGAGAGAGAGACATGGAACAGACTTATCCTATATTCAGTTATCGAGGTGTCGTCGGTGGCACAGCAGCTAGGACGCTCGCCGACCATGCACATGGTCCGGGGTTCGGTCCTCGGCCGACGCACTCCTTTACCTCTCTAAGCCAGTAATAATTCTGGTAAAGAGGAAAGGTTTGGTATGAGGCTAGCAACCCCATCCTGTAAAATTAAACACTGTTACAGACACTTCAAGCCACTAGCTTGAGGCCCTATGTTCCACTGGGAACGTGAAGGAAAAAAATATTCAGTCGAATTGCCGATTTCATCACACTACCGTTATTTTTGAATAATTTCCTTGCTTTCCAAGCGGACAGTAAGGCTTCAAGCTTTGAAATGTGAGTAGCAGTAGGCTTGTTTTTTATATGAGGTACGGTTGCTAGCAACCGGCCTAATCTCGTCTCTTTCTACACTTACTACTAGCTACTTAACTGGGTGGGTTTAGAGGTGTATCGGCTGGGAATAGAACCCGAATTACCCGTGTGGCTGGCAGGAATTCTACTGTAGAACCATCGATGCTTTTACATAGTCATATTAATTGAACAACTCTACATCTATATACTCGAACTTTTAGCACGCGATTTTCCTCTGTCAAATGTAGGATGATGCTATAGAACTGCACAACAACACTTAGCTTAAACAACAGGGAGTTAAGTGGTACAGAATGTTGACCATATCATTTATTTTAGGGTTGTATCAATCTTAATGGTTCGACTGCTGACAAAGTCTCAGCACAGGTACAAAAGACTCACATGACATATGTCAACTTACATTACACCTCCAGCATAGATGTGATACTCGGCTATCGATCAAAGGATGGATGCACTGTAATGCAGTTCGTTGTCATTAATTGTGGCTGCGAAACATGGTCATCGACAGTAGAAGATTTTAAAAGGCTAGGTATCTTTGACCATAGATATCTGTGTTATGTCTCCTATGTTAAGAAGTATAATATGGTGAGTTATGTTGGGGTTAGGCATCGAGTGTTAGGTAAGGAGGATAAAGTCAACCGATCAGGTCTGAACCTACATCGATTGACACGGCCATGATATGTGTTACGCATGCCTAGCCATCGCCAGTATTAGCTCACACATAAGATTAGGTTGAAAAAGAATTAATGGTAGTCAGACAAAAGCTTGATATCAGTTCATGAAGTCTTCAACAGCTGTTTTGAGTCAGCCAGGTAAAGGGTAAAGACTTCCTGGATGAGGTCCTCGAGATGTTATGAACCAATGGCTTGAAACTGTTGGTAATATAGTAAGTTCAGAAGAAAATTTTAATATTTAAGTAAAGAGCCTTGATAAATACATAAAATAGGTTTTGTCAAAAAACGCCGGGTACTGCGGACATATCTAGCTCCTCACGAGCAGGTGAATTGATAGATGCACATTGATGAGGCCAACAGAAGTAGCGTATCCTTCAGATTTATGCGAATTATTGGATTCATGGGGAAATTTAGTTGAAGTTCAGCTGCGAAGGCTTTCTTCAGTGGGTGGCGCAGGTGGTTTCTCAGTATTTCTGCCAATATACCTCCATTAAATTGTAGTTTCAAGTAGAGACGTTTTTGGGAGCAGAAAGCGTAGGCGGTTATAGTGGTCCAGGCTTCATGGATTTCGCGATGAAACGTTCTGGGTAGCGATTTTCGAGGAGGATTCTTGCCAGAGTATTCAGCTCCTTTTCCATAGCATCAGGACTAGAAATGCTGAGGATTCTGTGGCTCACTGAACGGATCAGGCTTTGTTTTGTATATCGAAACACTCAGCTATGTTCCATCTTATTCACGTCTCGTTAACTGAACGCCCAGAAAAAAAACATTTTGATGTCGGACTCCTTCTCTAGTGTGACTGAGTCGCAGGATGACAGCTGTTAAAAAAGTCAAAGATGTCCTCCGAATTCTCCTCATTATTGAAGATAATAAGAGTATCACCCACGTATCTCTTGTAAAACCTGAAGCTGCCAATCATTTTCTTAAGGTAAGTGTTTTCTAATTCTGACATGGAAAAATCTGCAAGCAACCGCCCAGTGGTGAGCCCATAGCTGTACCATCTTTTTGTCGATATATTTCGTTATTGAAGAAGAAATTGACATTTAGAGTGTATTTAGATAGGAGTTCCTTCAAATGGTCAGTAGGTATATCAATGTTTACACCCTTTGAACCCATATTTTCGCACATGTAGAATATTATTTCAATGCGACGTTCGTAAACAGTAATACCACATCTAGTGACAACATGGCGTGATTAGAAACAATGACGTTTCTACAGTAGAATTTCTGCCAGCCACACGGGTAATTCGGGTTCCATTCCTGGCCGATACACCTCTAAACCCACCCCAGTAAGTAGCTAGTAGTAAGTGTAGAAACGTAGTCCAAGGAATCGCGCAGTGAATGGCAGGGAACTTGCCTTCTGATTGGTTCTAGTAGGTCTACTGACCATTGGGTAGCGCGATTACTCATATCTAGAGTAGGCCGAAGACGTGTGCCTATCTTGTGTACTTTCAGGATATATCTGAACTAGACGTCCTCAGCAATTCGAACATTTCAACGTCAATGAATGATTCAGCTTTTAGTTTTTGGAGGATGTCCGTCGGTTTTGTTCGGCTTGCTCCGTCATTTTCTTTCTATTTAACAGTTTTTTGAGTTAGGATCTATCGTCATTTCATGCAAAAGAAAATGTAGATGGAATAGGCGTACACTGAGGAAACCATCAAATGATATCGCACGCAGACTATTGCTAGAGTGGAACCCAAGCGGATCGTCAAAGAGTGACATGAATGAGATCGGGCAAGGACATCAAAGACTATGGACATTCGCGGCGCCATCTGAAGAGGATCGCAGACAACAGGACAAAATGGAGATGTACTGCTGAATCCCAGTGTTCCTCTGGAACCTGAGGGCCCTGGATTTCGCCGATGATTTATGTTTGATGTCACACAAAATCGAAGACTGAAAACCGACAAACCGGTCGAAGAAGCAGCCGGTGAAGACAGGACTCAAGTGAACATAGACAAGACGGGGGTAATGGAAATAACCGACCAACCAACAACAACAACGGCAGCAACATCCAGCGTCAATCACCATCAACGGGAGGGATTTGAAAGAGGTGACTTCATTCATTCACTTATCTAAGGGGCACTGTCTCAACCACAGGCAGTCGGAACGGACGTGGATGTCAAATCGAGCGAGAATCGGGAAGGCGAGAAACACATTCATCAACCTGAAACAATCAATCTGGAAATCTTCGTCACTCAGCCAATCAACAACAAAATTCGGTTGGATTTTCAATACAAACAACGTCAAGTCAGTCAGTTCTTCTATACGGATCAGAAACTTGGTGGGCGTGTCACAAGAATATTTCCAACAGCCTGTTGCATACCTTTATCACAACTAACTGTCTTCGCTGGATCTATACTGAAGATCAGATGGCCGGGCTGGAAAGAATCACCGACAAGAACCAATCGCCAACCAACAAATATGCAGGAAAAGTGGAGATGGATTGGACACTCACTGAGGGGGCTGCTGGGTGATATCACGCGCGCGTCAGGCCATTGCTCAAGTGGAACCAAGCCGAAAGGGAAGCGGCGAGTGGGACGTCAGTGCAAGGGTGACATGGAGGAGATCGTGTGAAGAGAGAGGATTTAAAACAGTATGGACCAACATGGATGGAGGTGAAAAGTACAGCAGAAGACTGAAGTGGCAAGTGGAGACGTGCAGTTGAAACCCTATGTTCCACTAGGAACCCAAGGGAACAATAATAATAGTATAATTTAAGCTGCCCCTCTTCGGTTTGACCATGGTATTTCTTTTACATGTTGTGTGCACCCTGATCGATTATCCCACCTCAGACAAATACCTAAATTTTTCCGCATCAGTGGGTTTTCTTCGATGTAATCATCCTCATGAAATAACTTAGCTCTTACACTTTATCAAACTTCTAATGAAATACCAGAATCGTAATTATGCAGTGACAGAGTTCAGTATAAAATATGCTGCACAATTCTTTTTCTGTTGGAATTTTGAGATCGACGTGCATTATTATTTACTGCATAAACACACTGGATTCAGCATTTGACCTACTACAGGTGAATTGCGTTGTTTTAATCTAACAACGCCTACTTCACAAGATAAATGAAAAAGTGGAATCTCCAGTGCTCACATATTTGGTTTGGCCTTATAGTTTTATATGTATGAAAACTCTATACTGAGTAACTGAAATTCACATAAAAATGGTGAGTGAATAAATTTTTTTTAAAAAGGATTATTTGTTTAATCTTCTTTTATTTATAGTGTAAGTTCATTTTTATAATTAATTAGCGAACTTTATCATCTAGTTTTAATTAAGATTAACCTGAATAATTAGCCTGTGCCTGTCAACTGAATTAGGTTAATTGAGATTATTATTATTATCATTAATACATGGTGCGTGTTGTATATTTGTGTATCGGTGAAGGAATGAACCTTGATCAGCTCGACTGTTAACAAGTATGAAATCAATAATGATAAAACAATGCCGTAATCAGTATGTTCAATTGACTATAGGTGAACACTACGGATGATATGATATATGCTTGAGTACACTAGAAATTTTTCGACGGGCAATGTTAGCTGATATAGGGTTAGGCTGGAAAAGAGCTAGCGGCGGTCAAACCAAAACATGGCCTCACCAGTCAATGAAATCTACAACAGTTAGTCTAAGCCAGGCACGTAGGAAGGTGTAGACTAGCTGACTGACTGGTTGGGGTTCTCGGGACGGTAAAAACCAATGGTTGGAAACAATTGGTGACATGGCTCAAAATCGTTCTCAATGGCTGGTGCAGATACATCCACTCCTTGTGACTTATGATTTCCAATGAAACTATATTGTTCTTCGTTATTACTATTCCTTTGCTCACACCTCTGTTTACTGTCTCTATTTTGCATTTCTTCTACTTTCTTCTCTTGCTTTGTGTGCTACAAGGAGGAAGTGTGGCGACTTGAAATGTAGCACGTCGGTGCAAAGTTCTATGTCGAAAACAGACAGACACTAGAAGTTTACACCTTTGGGTTTCGAGCGCAGCACAGGGACCCAAGCGTTTTCAAGCTACAGTAGCCCCAGTGGTGTTGCCTGTCATTACAGGGTGAGGTGAGGTTGCTAGCTTCACTTATACCTGCCTTCCTTCTTTTTCCGCCTTCCAAACAGCAAGGCGAGGGTTAGGAGTGAGTATACTGAAGAGCACTGCTGACTCACTAACCAACTGATGACATTACACATAGACATGGACCAGTCCAAGTAACCATACTTCAATAAAACACACATAAACAGAAGAGAATACAAATGTAAGGAAACTATAATGGACGCAGATGGACGACATGAAGGAGAATACTTTCAGGATCTAGGAGATATGATGAAGATTGAATACAATTGGACCACTTTAAACAGTCAAAGTCATCTCATCAACAGCTGCAACTACTGATTCTCAAAATTATGTGGATCTCAGTCATATTGGAATAGGCGAAAACAACCCGTGTTCGAACAGTGATGATAAGTACTACTGTGGTGAGAGGTGGCTACTAGCCAAAAATTGGTAGACAGTAATTGACGTCAACGTTTACGTCCCCAATATTGGTTGTGAGAAAAATAAAAACAAAGACTGATTCAGCAACCAACCACAGCAGACTTCGCGTAGGCGGATACGATTAGCAGAGAGATGATCTGACATTCAAGAACAGTCATAAAGAGATACAAGGTCAACTTTCTGTGAGAAACAACCAGTCAGAGAGTGTGTTTGTTTGCTTGAATAAGCTATACTAATGTACATTAAAATCTATAAATATGTGTTGATTTCCTTAATAAACGATCTGTTGCCCGGCTCTTGCCTTCTGTTGTTACACTACTACCGTAAATAGTCAACCTAGTTGTAGGTTAACAAGACCGAATATCCAGCCATTCGTTTCGTTTAGTATTTTGTTACAAACTGACATAAACTTAAAGAAACACTAGAAACTGACGAGTACAACAGGAGTGTTTTGTTCCAGGTTGGTTCATATACAGCAAAAAAAAGGAAATTATTCTGAGGCTATCATCCTACGAAGTGAACATGCTATCATTCAATCTTAAGGTCGGAATCTAGTGAATCAATATTTAATAATCTCCAGCTATGTTTCTGTATCCCCAAGGAGTATCTGGATTCAGCCTTAACATCGACCAGACGGATTCCTACAAGACTCAAGGTAAGTCTATTTACAAATTAGTCACAAATCATGTATGCATTATGATTATTATTTCCTTGAGTTCCCAGTGGGATATATAGCTTCAACAACACACCTCCACTTCGTTCAATTCTCTGCTGTCCTTTTCAGCTGGCTTCACTATTGACCATAATCTCTCATCTCCTCCTTTCAAGATCTCCTCCATGTTGTTGTATTGAAATGTTTAGCTGGCTAAGATATCAACCATGGAACAAATCGAATCTCTGTGTGAACTCAACAGTTTAATCTTATATATTTTCAAATTTGTTACCCTTGACAACATTGCCAAAAATCAATTTCAGAGCACTTTTTGATTGATTTGATTATCAAGCCTAATGATTATTCTTAGGAATAGTAAAAACCGAAAATGGAGACAAGCTTACCTAAAGTGCTAAGCAGGACATAACTCCCACGCTTTTCATAACGAAAATCCGGTATTTGTGGATTTGCTGCACCAAGTAAATCCAGGAGAACAAACAGATCCTGGGCGTTGAAAGTAAATCATAATATAAGTATGGTAAATATTTATCATGATATGTATAAGTAAACTGAAAATATGAAAATTCTGCCTATTATTATTATTATTGTAATGTCATTTATTTCCCGTATTCCAACTGGAATATAAGACTTCAGCTGCACATCTCCATTACCATCTCGGGACACTATCAACATTAGGCATAAGTATAAAACGTAGGCACTCTGGTAGAGTATAACTCAATTATGGATAAGATTTTATTTTGATAAAATCACACAGTGTTGTACAATAATATTAATTGATGACGTTTCGAGCACAAACTATTCCTCATAATCATATCAAGTCACTACTCACACAACTTTCTTGCTTCATTTGTATACATATGTGCAATCGATTAGATATTGGAATAAAACTCAATATAGGATAATGTACATTCAGAAATAATAATATGAGTGTTATTGATCAATTACAATCAGATGGAAAATAAGACGAGTGTTTTTATAGTCATAATGAATAACTTGTTAGAATGTTGTGATGTGCTTGAATTGAAATAGAAATTTAAGATTATTTATTATCGTCTTCTAATTTGACTTGAGGTAATAACATCTTCCATATTTCTGGTATTTGCATTGAATCATTTCTGTTACATGTGTTGGGTGTAAACTCAATGAACCAGGATTCAGTAATCAATCTCTCTCTCCACCTACATAGATTACTTCTTAGAATCTCAACCCTCTCCCACCCTATTGTGTGGTTGTATGTTAATGTATGTAGTGCAATTGCTAACCTTTTTTCTAAATTACTTATCTTTTCAGGGTCAGTCATTCTTACCTTAGCTAAATTCTTATGTTCTGATAGTCTAACTACCCCCGACCTACTAGTCTGACCTATGTAGTTGACCTCACAGTCATTGCAGGATATTTTGTAAATTATATTATTTTGTCTAATTGGGTCAACGGGGTCCTTTAACCTACACAGCTTGTCCCTGAGTGAGTTTGTAGGTTTGAATGCCACTCGAATTCCTTCTTCATTAAGAATCCTACGTAGGACCTCGGATGTCCCCTCCTTATATGGTATAACAGTGGATGACTTATATTCTCTCTTATTTATGTTATTATTACTAGTTTCACAATTATTTTTAATTTGCTTTTGGCCTTTTTTGATCTTCCTAATGAATTTTACAGGATAGTTATTTAACATCAACGCCTCTTCTATCTGTTTTACATCATCATTTACGCCTTTTCTTGTTCTACTTAGTGCTATTGCTCGGTTTGTTAGGCAATTAACTAAGCCCGCCTTAACAGTTAACCGATGATGGTTGGAAGCAATCGGCCACAGGAAGCCTTGAACCAAGGTTTCGTGCTAGTTGACACTCACCAGTCAGCAAAGCGTATCTGCAACCTCTAAGGAACTCGTATCTCTTCTGAGATTCAAATCCACGCCATCCAGTGTCACAGTCAAAGACTTTAACACTGAGCTATTCGAGCTCACCACTCACCTCCTGCGGGACTGTACTGAATTCATTGATTGGATACCAGTTAATAACTACTGTAATGTGTTTAGTCCTATCTTCGGTGCAGACTGAATTCTATCAATGAAAATTGCAATGTGCATTGTGATGGCGAGCCATCTAGAGGCACGGTGGCTACATTTCAAACTTGACTGGTGGAATTCAGTCAAAGGACTAGTTATTATTAACTGGTATCCAATCAAAAGTACCCTACATCAATTTTAGCCGATTCTGCAACTGTCAACCAGCTTTCATTTCTACTTAACATTATCTACTTCATATTAAATTTTTTTTTTGATTTACAGCTTGATTCCACACTGTATTTTCGGTACAAGTATGGAATTTTCAGCATGGATATCGGTAGCCCAAATTTTGCAGGCCGACCATAGATATCAGGTGTGCGCCGGCGTGGGCTCGAACCCCGGACCATATGCATGAACGGCGAGAGTCCTAACCGCTGTGCCACCGACGCACATTAACCTCGTATCCACGTCCAAATTACCGCTCCCCATTCGAGTTTCACTCGATGGCCTGGTGTGTAATGTCGCTTGGAAGTCTCCTTAGTTCAGATAGTTACAATTGTTAATAATCAATAGTAGAAAGTAAATAAGCTAAGCTCATTTGAATCTAATAATAGTAACCTCTAATCGTTTGAGATCCACTAAACATGATATCACATGAATACTATAACACATTTCGGATTAGTATTAAATTTGATCGAATATGCTGTGGCACTAGTCAAAACCTTGTATAGTAGAGTAGCACTATGAGTTTCCTGCACCTTTTCCAAACATTTTAGCAATCGGTAAGCAATCCTGGGTAGCAAATTCATACGCCTGAATAACTAACGAACAAACAATAGGTAAATTAGCATGTACAATCATAGTTTATCGCTGTGTTTAGTAGTAGGATTGAAAATTAGAAATATACAGAGAGATTTTGATTGGTTTTCGTAATTCTTGAAGCATATACATATATATATATATATATATATATATATATATATATATATATTGTTTTTACGAGTTTGACCACGGATTGATATCAGTTAGAGAACCATTGAAAACAAGCAGGGAGTACTGGACAGTTGTTTCGTCAGTTTAGTTTGCGAGTCATCGGCAATACTCACACACTGCCACTGTACGAACCCAGGACCTCGCGATTAAAAGGTAAGCTCGCATACCATTCAGCCACTGGAACCCGATTCAACGGCCAGTTCATGAAGTCTAACTTTCACCAGTTCATGATTTAGCGCAACCACCAACCAATGTTATCAATGGAATTTCATCCTCACACTAAACTGGTTGAACGTCGTTGGTCACAACTTCTCACTAGAACTCCAGGAAACTCCATCCTGTAGCCAGGAGTCACTAGCGAGTGTCGCAAAAACAAATCTAATCTTTACAAACCAACTCTTGAAATGACAATGAAATATTTTCTATATTTTGATTTGTAAGGGTTAGTTATGCTTTTACGAGTTGATCACGGTCGAGCTAAATCACGAATTGATAGAAGTTAGAATTCATGAGCCATTGAGGAGTCGCGTCTCAGTGGCTGAATGGTATAGGAGCTTGCCTTGTAACAGGAAGGCCCTGGGTTCGACTCCCAGTGGGTGCGTACTGCCAATGATTCCCAAACTAGGATGAAATAGCAGCTGTCCAGTACTCCTTGCTGGTTTTCAATGGTTCTCTAACTGATATCAATCCGTGATCAACTTGTAAAAGCAATTATATGTGTGCAAACCAAGCTTGAAAATACATGCGCACATGAAAGCATAAGCTGCTTTTATAACTGTATACACTTATCAAATCCAACAGTCTACACATGGTTTTGTTATCTTTATCAATTGAACAACTTGACAACATAGAAATTACCCCATGCTGATGAACAATGAATAAGTTGTCATATATAAGTTGAGATTTTGTCAATTCTGGTTTAGTAATACTTTGATAAAGCTATTAGAGGCATTAAATAGCGAAACGTCAGTGTAAACTATATCGTTTTGTTTTTCATTCATTGAGAAATACAAAAGCTTTTATAATAACAAGTTAGTTATAATTATATTTCAATAGTTTATACACAATGATAAGTGTTTTGTAAAATTACTCCCCGTGATCGCATCAACTGATGGAATTGTTATTTTTTTAATTTACATGTTTATAATTTGTAATCATACATATATATGCGTATGCAGAATTATATTCCAGTTTATAAGTTTCCAGACGGTAGATGTTACAAATTTCTTGGAATAATTTGAGCACCAACTCAGAGTGAGTCGTTATGACAGTTGTGCTGAGTCACCCTTGTTAAATGTATCCAGTGTGACCTTAATAAATATAGATTCGATTACAAGTCTCTCTTCCCATTTGTTCATATTACTTTTTAGAATACAAACATTGTTCCAATCAATACTGTAGTTTTTCTCCCATGCATGTGCAGCTATAGATGAATTTTTTTCTAAATTCTTGTAAGCTTGTGTTTCAGTTGGTTGACCTTTCGTTAGGCGTTTATGTTCATTCATTCTTATTTTGAGTGATATGGATATTTGACCCACATATACATAGTCGGACACTAGGCACAAGATATTTCGTAAATCTAATTGTTTTTATCCATCATTTTTATGGGATCTTTTGGTTGATTTATTTTATTTTTAAATCAAATTCGTCGGTTTAAACGTTGTACGAATCCCAATATTTTTGAGGTTTCTTCGAATTGCTTCTGATGTACAACTTTTGTACGGTACTGTGACTGTTTGTTTACAGTCCTCTTTCTTGTTATTCCCTATTTCCACCTTCTTTCTTTGTTTCTTTATATTATCTCTGATGAATTATTCTTCGTAATTGTTTTCAAGTAACATTTTGAATATTTATTTCTTTTCGTTGGTTATCTGGTGTTATTGTAAGTCTGTGTATTCTGTCTGCAAGATCCTCCATATTATTATTATGTATCCTTTAGTTCCTAGAGGAACATAGGGCTTCAGCTGCACGTCTCCATTGCCTTCGGCTTTCTGCCAACTTTTTCACTCCGCTCCAAGTCTGCCCACACGCTTTCATCTCCTCTTCACATGACCTCCTCCAAGTCACCCTTGCACTGACGACCAACTCGCCGCTTCCCTTTCGGATTCCACTCGAGCAATGGCTTGTCTAGTGATGTCACTTGATGGTTTCCTCAAAGCATGGCCAATCCATCTCCATTTCTTCCTGCCTATTTGTTTCACAATCGGTTCCTGCTTGGTTCGCTCATTGCCAGAGATCCCTGTTGCTGATCTTTTCTGCCTGGCCATCTGATCTTGAGTGGTGTTGAGCGAAGACAACTGTTAATGAAGATCTGAAGTTTGTTTTAGATGCTCTTTATGACTCGCTGGCCAAGTCTCTGATCCGTATAGTAGCACTGACTTTACATTGGAGTTGAAAATCCGGATCTTATTTTCGATGCTGAGTGCTGTTGACCTCCACACAGACTTGAGATTAATGAAAGCTTGTCTTGCTCACCCGGTTCTGGCTTTGATGTCCTCGTCAGTTCCATCCACCTGTAGTTGAAACGATGCTTCCCAGGTAGGTAGGTAGGTAGGTAGGTGAAGGAGGTTGTTTCTTTCAGGTTCCTCCCATTTATGTTGGCTGATTGTTGTCTATTTTTGTTGTTGCTGTTGGTGCTGACCAGGATTCTTCCTCACCTGTTTTATCTATGTTCACTTGAAGTCCTGTCTTTGATGCTTCTTCTGCCAGCTTGTTGCTTTTCACTTGCATATCTTCCAGTTTGTGGGAAATCAGACATATATCATCGGCGAAGTCCAGACCCTCTAAGTCTTTTGTGTGAGTCCATTTTATGCCTGTTTTGCTCATTGCCCACTGTCTGTCGCATTATCCAATCTACTGCAATCAGGAAAATCATTGGCGATAGTAGACAGCCTTGTCTATATAAAATTTCGTGAGTGGATGAGCTGAGTCTTAGATAACCAAGAAATCTTCTAGAATGTGTAGTTTTTCTGTAAATATATCGTCCTTTTTATGCTAATATTTGTTACTATTTGTACCCGTACACCATCCATCTTCCTAGCTCCTATTTGTGACTTTATCTTGTACACAGTTTGATATGTATTGTATTGTATTCATGCTATCTTGCCTTATATATAAATGTGCATGACAAGTACGTAGGCTATCAGAATGCCTGAAATGTGTTGCGCAAATACATTACACATTTTTTGATTGCACACTAGTCAGTAACTAGTGTAATGTGTCTAGTCCTATCTTCAGTGTAGACTGAATTCTATCAGTCAAGCATGCAATGTGGCCACCACGCTATGTGGCTCGCCATTATGGTGCACTGTGAAATGTTGTTATTAGATGGTTGGAGGCGATCGACCACAGGAAGCCTTGCTTGACCTAGGTTTCGTGCTAGTTGACACTCAAAGGTCAGCAAGGTGTATCTGTAACCTTTAAGGAACTCATGTTCCTTCTGAGATTCGAATCCGCGTCATCCAGTGCCGCCTGCAGTCAGAGACGTTATCACTGAGCTGTCCAGGCTCGCCATTCACTTCCTGCAGGACTGTATTGGATATTTTTTGACTGCAAATCAGTCAGTGACTTCTGTCGTGTGTCTAGTCCTTTGTTTGGTGCAGACTGAATTCTATCAGTCAAGCTTGCAATGTGGCCACTATGCTAGGTGGCTACACACTGCACATTTCTTATTGTTTCGTTGAAATTTATAAAGGGAATTCATAAAGCGCTTTCAACTTACAATTTTACTTAATTCTGTCTCTCCTGATGAACTAGACTTTTCACTCCATTTTGCGGCTAAATGTCTTGATCCATACAAACTGTCAGTATCTGTCCATTCTTCAAAGGCTTCTTCACCATCGAAAAATACAACCTTCAGACCAATGCTAGAATTCTAAGGAAAAATGTAAATATATATTAATTATGTATTCAATAATCTTATAATTTGTATAATTTTCTCTCAAAAAGTCACATATTTTCACTGATGAATAATATTACTGGTGTGCATAGGTTATAACAAATTATGCCCTAAAGATGCTACAGTTGCATTGATGGCTCAGTGTTAAAACACACTTGCCATCTATGCACATGACCCAGGGTTCGATTCCCGGTTGCCGCACTTCTAGACTTCTCGTAGACTGTAGTAAGACTAGTAAAGAGGGAAGGCTGGGCGTGAGGCCAGCAGTCTCCCCTCATAAAAAGAAACATCAATGCAACTGAAACTCCAAACCTTAAGTTTGATTCCATATGTTCCACTCAGAACGCACCAAGGGCGGGCAGACTTCGGTCCTCCTTTCGAAATGCTCTGACTGGGTCTTGAGTTCATAGCCTCTGCCAACAAAGTCCTATTCACTAACTTCCAAGGGGCTGAAGCTTTCCTCACAAAAGTGAAAGGGCTAATGCGGACGTCTAGCATTTACAATCTGACCACCGGTGGACATACTAGTCTACCTAGGGGAGTTGGAAAATCCTATGATTTTTATAGGCTCTGGGGTATGAAAGAGTCGAACCTGTCTCGATCACTAGCAACCAATGGGAATGTAGCCTCTGACGCCACTCCACAACTTCATAAGGATCAGACTTCATGTCAAAGGCTCGGCATTTAAACTCTCAAGACCACCGCCTACTTCTCTTTGAGCATCCAAACTTCGTGTGGCGAATTTTCGGTGCCCATAATGTACCTAGTTTTCGTTTTAATAAACAAACAAATAAATATTGGATTCAGGCATACTGTCCAAAATCAGCAGAAGAGATAATACCCTAGACAGAGATACCACCGTCACAGTAATCTTATCTGTCCAGGGCTTTCTGCCGATTGCCTCCAACTATCTAATATCATCAAATCAATGTGCACCGTGATGGCGAGCCACATAGAATGGTAGCCACATTGCAAACCTGACTGATAGAATTTAGTCAGCGCCAAAGAAAGACTAGACACATCACGCTAGTTACTTTTGTCCAATCAAAATACCCACTACAGTCCTACAGGAGGTTAATCGCTAGTCCGAATACCTCACTGGTAACGTCTGTGACTGCAGTACTCACTGGATGACGCGGGTTAGAATCTCAGAAGGGATATGAGTTCCTTCGAGGTTGCAGATATGTCTTGTTGACTGGTGAGTGCCAACTAGCACGAAGCCTAGATCAAGCAAGGCTTCTTACCAATCGCCTTCTACTATCTAATATGTTATCATCAGTGAATGACTTAATTCATTGTGTTGTTACATTTACTGCTTATTGGTCATGCAATATGATAATTCGGAACACTGGCCAAACAGAATGATTTGAATTCTAAACATTGAATGTTTCTATAATCTCACTTATCTATTATGTTACACAACAGAAGGAAATTCTTTATGTCATTATCAGATTAGAGGGAATAAATGGCACTGAAGAAAAATTTTCCCCCTTTATCTCCATCTGAGCGCTTGGCTTATTGTCAGCTTCCAGTCGATAGGTCACACATCAGAGGTCTAGGCAGTAGTCAAGTAGCATCATTTTTCCCCGCATAACAAGTGTGACCCACTTCCAACTACATGGATTAATAAAATGGATTTTTTTCCAACTTAATGCAATTCGAAAAGTGTTTGATTATTCATAAACTTACGAAAGGACATTTGGCAAATTACCTGAACACCGAATGATACATATCGTCATGCTAACTAATAAAAGCCCCCTGAAAACTATTAGTACTTCATTCAAGACTGTATTATATTATGCTTGTTGCTACACAACAACCTAAACTAAAAAATCAGCAACTTTGTGCTGATGTTAAGTGGCTATCTAGTCAAAAAGTCAGATATCTGTACGCTCAAGAAAAGGTTCCACATTAAATTCAATCACTTAATTATAATAAAAGTTTATATACAACTTCCAAAGTTAGGGCTATTCCACCATTAAAAAAATAATCTTTTACACCGAATATATATCGATAAATTCATTACGTAAAAGAAAAAAATGGTTACAAGTGGAAAAAAAGACACTGGTTACCTTGATCAAATCGATCCCATTATTCAATAAGTCAACAATTTTCAAGATCATCGAACATGGCATAGCTGAATCAGTTGAACCGACAAAATTCCGTATCATTTTTGATTCATAATGACAAGCCAAAATTAAGAATTTAGAGTATGTTGATTTATTCTTATAACCGACAATGTTATGAAAGACCTTAGGTCCAATTATTGTATTTTCTTTGAAAGTATCCAACTCAACATGCCAACCACGTTCCTCTAGAAATTTTTTGATAAACTAAGAAGTAGACATTTTGTTTCATATAAGCAAACCTACTTCTCTAACGACTACATGACCAGGACTGCCTATACTGCGTACAACATTAATTTTTTCAAATATCTCTCTTAAACTGCCTTCCACTGAACGATTTTTAAATTTTGAAAACAAATGATCAGGAAACAATTCCTGTTGAATAAGTTTCTACAATAAAAGAAACAATGGGGAATCAGTCGCTGAAGCATTTATAGCTGTATGTTCTGTAAAACAAAACATGTAAGAATTTTAAGTGTAAAAAACAGTGCTGTTTTATCCAGATGCACAGAGTGAAATAGTAAGACACTAAATGGATAGACCTAGAAAAAAATGGTCATGAAGAAACTGGTTTACGAAGCTCCATATCGTGTGTTACGCATAAAACATTTAAAAAATGACTTAGAAGAACTATATTTCATAATCAAAATGACAGTGAAATAGAAGGTACAACTTGTCGCGAAGCACTTTAAGGAAGATGGATGATTTCAGTAACCAGAAATGAAGTACGGCCCCTAAATGTAAGTGTAGAACATGGATACTGCGTTAGAATGTAATTCCATAAGTTTATTTGATATGACATATGGTGATGCACGGCGCGCTTTTCGATTAGTGCTCTACATTTGCTTAGTTACATAAAACTCTCATTTCTCTGGTGCGTTTTTTACTACGAAGTTTTGGAAATTATTGCAATCCGTTTACTTTCGAACACTAAACCTGTGGATATAATCTTGCTGACTACTAATGCCTATAACTAACTGTCTGCCATTTTGTGACCTTTTAACACCAACTCATATCTGTAATTGTATATATTGTTGAATTTATATGTTCAAGTTGGCCCAAGTCAGTGAGTCTATGGTTTTGGTATCATTTTAGTTAACTGTGCTTAACTGTATTGCATGTTGTTGTATTGTATTGTTGCTGTCACTTTTCGCCCTTTCACTGTGAATTATTTTCCTTTTGTTGGTGTTGTTCTGATTGTTTCATCCCTTGTTTTCCGATTTTAAGGGGAGCAACGCAAAATGTCGCTTCTCTCCAAATTTGCCCTCGAGTGGAACCCGAAAGGGAAGCGGCGAGTTGGTCGTCAGTGCAAGGGTGACTTGGAGGAGGTCATGTGAAGAGGAGATGAAAGCATGTGGGCAGACTTGGGGCGGAGTGAAAAATTTGGCAGACAACCGAAGGCAATGGAGACGCGCGGCTGAAGCCCTATGTTCCTCTAAGAATTAAAGGATATAATAATAGTAATAACAATAATAATTAATAACTGGATGACGTCTCAAAAACAACTCAAGGTTCATAATCATGTCAGTGGATTTACATGACCTGATAATTTGCTTTATATACCTTTCTCCAGTTCCTTTGTTGTCTATTACACTTTTTTCATAGATCCAGTATAAACTTTTCACCTTTTCGATTTCACATGTTCACTGTTGATCAGCTGAAAAACTCAGTAACTAACCTCTCTCTCTCCCCATCTAAATATATTACTTTGTACTATTTGCACCCTGGTGAATGTCCTAAAAGCCGAGCTGCTTCTTAGTAAGTTGAGTGGTCCATTCGTATGATAACTAGGAGGTTTAATTCAGAACAATTGATTATAAATGTATTGACAACGCCAAAATGCCCGCACCTTGTTCAGACAACTAAGACAATGAAAATCATCGTGTTCAATTATATTGGCCATATAAAGCTATTTTGAGTTACTAAAAACTTTAAAATAGGAAAAGAGACTGTCTTCGCTGAACTCTTTGTTCTTGTATTCAAATATGGAAAGCCTATAGTTTTTAGAAGTGTGATTCTCTTACCTCTATAAATCATGCAAAAATAAATAGCGATTTCTTTGAATTTCCTCTGATTAGTTTTAGTATGCTGTGGAAGAACATTCCCCAATAATCAATTACGTATTAACTCACTTATCGATACCCCATGCCTCCCTGGTATATGATGACTATAAGAACTAACTGCCCAGCAAAACTCCATTATGCGCAGCAGAGATTTAACCTTGAACTTAGAAGGTGAAAGTAGACTTTCCAAATCAATGAATCACGGACCCACTGGGAGGAGTTTCAACAATATATAGTCTCTGAAGTGACTGTGTTACCATTCACTCCCCCACTACGTGTTGATGAATCATAATGTAAGTGCAACTGAAGATGACTAAACTGACATCAATCTGTGCTTATCAGTTGCTAATCTACGCATATAGTGGAAATATGAAATAACCTCGAGTGCAGCTATTAATTTATACCACTATTATCATGAGTACACTAGAAAAATGCTTTTGAGAAGATACGTAGTTTAGTGAAAGTTTCGTCAGGTTTAATGTATAACCTCTATGTTTTTATGCTGATGATGGAATAAATTTTAAAAATAAAATTTAAGCCAGCAGTAAAATTATATTTAAGTAGCACAGAATTTCATCGCCATAAGGATTTTAGAAATAAAAAGGTAAATGAAATGACAAGTACAACATCACTAATCAAGCATTAGATAACAAGCGGTGAACATATACTGATACCTTGCTGAACGGGACGACGCGTGAAACAAGTTGAAAATCTAAATTAATGCAAAAGGCTTTGAACTAAAACTTGGTGCACAAATGCACATGGTACATTTGGTATTGTGTAAAAGTTTAAAGTTATTGTAAAGTCCTAAATTAACTGACCGATTTCGAAACTTTTCCTGCACAAAATTCTGGTTTTACAACATTCTTTTCGATTAACTGGTCTGTTATTGGATCTATACAGACCAATCGTAAAAAAGCAGCCAAGTATCTTACTTATTACTTAGTATATACACCTCCCACCTAACAATATTATATTTTTGAACGGAAAATTTCATTGCGCCAAGTTTACCATAATGCCGACTTAAGTCTCGCTAATTCTAAACTAACTCTAACATCCTATCATGAGCGAATTCTGAAATGGTTTGATTACACAAACAGAATAGAACTCAGTGCTGTTTTTCAGCAGGACTGGCACTAACTCAGCGTCCTGCGCCCTTTCTAAGCATTTCCAGAAGATCCTCAGTACCAACTAGGTTTGCTTATCAGCGTTGTTTTAACCCTCTCACCCTATATTCGGCACTGAATATAGAATTATTTCAGAACAAAAAGACTTAGTTCCGTGAATAGTGACGATGTTTTTCGGCTTTTACATCAGTACTAAAGGAATTATTTCAGCTGAAAATCCTGTTTTTATTGTTTCATTGCATTAATTAAGTGTACAGTGCACTTTTCAAGAACGACCAGCGTTATTTCAGTACAAGTGGATTCATGATCGATACATAAAATGTTCATTTACCATAAAAGGCATTGTCATCGCATGGGTAAGAACTAGTTTAGAATTATTGTACGCTTAGGTACTCAAACTTGATTGACTGATTTTATAAAATCAATCCGGCTTAATTGCGGGTAGAAGGAAGGTTGGCAAGTCTCAATTTATTATTACAGATATTCCTAATAAAGCAGACTTAGCGACCAAAAACGGCTACCATGAAAGTTCCCCCGAAATCTAATTTTACTGGGCGTGTTAACAAAGAATTATAATTATAATTTTAGGTCGTTAAACCACAATATCAGCACAAATAAAAACCTTCCACTAACTCACATTTTGAGATATATCTGAAATGCATCCCACAGAAAAAGCAGATAGCAAAAGAGTGCCGATCACGACCAATACATAAAACATCTTAGCGATAATACATCATCACTGGTCGACCTTGACATTCAAGTTACGGTGATGAAGTAACAATAACTAGAAAGAATAAACAATCACAATCGGTGACAGGGACTTAACAATACGCTTTCTTAATTCGTTGAAGAAAATATACTTTTGCGCATAAGCATGTGCTTGGAGCATAAATCTCCAATTGTGTCCACTTTGGTTGTCACAACGGAAAACTCAGCTAGGCATTCGAAGTGCATACAGGAGTAAGACTTGCAAGAGAAAACCAAAAAACTCACTGAAGAGACTGGGAGCGAAGACAGGACTCCTTGTGAACATAGAGGAGACGGAGGCGATGAAGATAACTAATCAACAACAACAACAACCAGCACCAATCACCATCAACGGGAGAGATTTAACAGGGGTTACCACCTTTACGTTTCTGGGATATATGGTTTCAACTACGGACTGTCAAAGTCGAGGAAGACGTCGAAGCCAGTCAGAATCAGAAGGGCAAGATACGACTTCATCAACCTAAAACCAGTTCGGAAATCTTCTACATTCAGCAAATGGAACAAGATTCGGACTTTCAACATCAATGTGGAGTCGGTCACTCTATATGGGACAGAAACTTGGCCAGTGTCACGAGAAGGACTTTCGACAGCTTCCTGCAGACCCTCAACAACAGCTGCCACCTTCGCTGACCGGCTCTACAGTGAAGATCGGATGGTCAGAAAGAATAAGTAACAATAAACTGTGGGAAAAAACCAACCAAGCGTCGATCGCTCAACAAATATGTGAGATGGATCGGGTATATACACTTAGGAAACCGTCGTATGACATCGCTCGAGTGGAATCCAACTGGGAAGCAACGATCATGTCGTCGACGCGACGGTGACATGGAGTAAATCATGTGACGAAGAGATGAGAGAGTTTGGTCAATCGTGAATCCGGCTAAAGAGGACGTAGAAACTGGAACAAAGCGGATATGTGTTGTTAAAGCCAGTCTTACGTTCCAATCGTTGCCCTACAAGTAAAAGATATGATATCTGTGATCATGATACGCAGCTGACGTCCCTGGGTCCACAAGTAACCTTTTCATTCCAGAACATAAATTCCAGAAGGGAGGAGAAAAAGTTATGCTCTGACTGTCCTTGATAAAGTGGACTTATCAGAACCACTGTGAATGAATTAAGAAAAATTTTTGGTTAGGGATCACTTAATAACATGAGAACTTAAGACGACTATGCCACAAACGTCGCGTACATTCTATCTAGGAGATTCAGGGTGAGAATTTAGCTAAAATGATGGAGACTTGTGTCTGACGTCAGTCCAGCTTTTAACTAACTGTCATTTAGAATTGTTGTGCCGAAAAATGTGTAAAATAGAATGAAATTTCGAGTTGGTTCATTTCAGGTTAACTTGTAATTAAATGCAGCTCATAAGATTGCCAAATTTACATAGAGAAGCCAAGTTAAACAGGACACTAAGGTATTTGGGAAACTGTCTGCTCGTGTAAGAATATTACATTCCTTTAGATAACATTGTATTATATGATTAAACAGTTTTTAGAAGATGACGGGACGTTGAAAATTACTCAAGATGTTCTGCATGAAACACAAGTATTCATCCTCCAACTCCCACAGTACTCTCTGTACTGGGACGAAAGACAAATTAAAACGACGGAATATTCTACCCAAATATGAGACGTGTAACTAGCTAGGGACCGTCTAGGAACCGATAAAAAGTAGCGCGACTGGTCACCTAAATAGTAGGATGCTTGGGCGCGTTCCTTAAGTTAAGGAGACTGGTTTAACCAGAGAAGATCAGCACGCAGTGTAAAGTAACGTGTTTTGTAGTCCACCATATTTTGGGAGTTGCTTTCCTCCACAAGCTGTTGATTCTGCATTCGGTAACTATCTCTCGTTTGTCCTACAGTTTTTAAATATCTTGGAAATATCCAAACATTTAATTGCACTGTGCCTTCTTTTAGGTTTTGCGTGTAAGTAATATTGATGTGATCGATCTTATTTAAATGTAAGCATAAAATGGACTCAGGAAACAGTGCCGATCTACACAATAAGTGGAATAAAATGGACATAAACCGACAACGTGAAAAAGTAGAACTCACCACAACATCACATGTACAGATGTACGCTCGTCGGACATCATATATGTCTCACCAACTACAACCCAACTTTCCTGAGATAATGTGATGAACTTATATCCGTAATGTTGCTGAGCAGTGAATATCCACAACTCATGTCGTAACAACTAAAATTCAAAAACCTTCCTCACGAGAAGTAAATACCCACAAGCAGTAGAAATCCATTAATGAATGCGTCTAAAGCTTATGTATTTTACTCCCAACAATGACATTACAGATCAAATGAGATAAACATATCACTGATTTCAAAATAACACATCAATGAACTATAATTCAAAGATTCTGCACACAACAAAGTATTGTACGAAGATTGACTTCAAGCTTTATTTTTTTTCCCAGGCACTTATAACCCATCCACCAAAGACCTGGTTTTTTTGTTAATGCGAAGACAATACTTCTGTAATTCCTGATGTGTTGCATTCACTGACAATCTAGCGGATTTTTCCAACTATGCACAGAAATGATTGTACATAAGTGAAAAGGATGTTTTATACTATTGGGATTAACATCTATCAAGTGCATGTAAAATCTCCAGTGTACATGTTAAACATATTTTGTCATCGATTGTAAAATGTGACTGAATAATATGGTCCTACTTCTGTAACAATTTGATGATGCCTGTAAACTGGCGTCCCTCATGTACTGTATCATGAGAATAAATTTATTTATTTATTTATATGTGGTGTATACATAAAGTCATTTTTCTACACAAATACGACTTAGTCTTCTCCGTGGAATTCCAACTTTGTAATAATAACGGAAGAAACTTTTTGATTCCCATGTGAACTGATGCACACGTGCATCAAACTAAATACTTACTTATCAAGAACGTAAAACTGAAATATCAAGGATATGGCTGCGGATAGTGGTGTATTTTACAGGTAGAAAGCTTGATTTGTTTGGTGGAGAAACTCAGGAAATCCGGTTGGGCAAGAAACGCTGGCTGAAGGGCTCTGAAGGTGGGATTTGTAACGCACACAACTCAGGGAGAGGATTATATTCGGTTTCACTCAAGTAAATACTCACTGAAACAGACTTAAAACACCAAACCATGTTTCTTTTCCTGGAATATGCGCGACGATGCTGTTCATCAAATTTTTATCGGCATTAGTAAAATACTTGACTGGATATCTTCCAAGAATTTCTGATAAGATTAGTAATTTCGGCACACGGATCAGGTTCGTACAACATTTGGTGGAAATTTTCTGCACCAACTGAGCTTACAATTTTTATTTGATGGCCAGTCAATGATATAAAAACATTAAAAAGGACACATCACTGAAAATAAGAATAATCTTCTGTAAAACAGATTCGAGTAACATTGTGCAACATACTAATTAAGGTATAACTATACTTGTCAGTTCTGTTATGGATTCAAGTTAGACTTATACCTACTGACAACCAGCAACTTCTTTTATTCGGATTAGACATGCTGATAGACATTCCTCTATGTAAATGTTGCTCGCACTAAACTGGAGTGCTTTACGGGTGAAATCAAGGTGCTTTAGTGGACCACTGTTTAGATTTTAACTGGTATTTAGTACGTACTATTGGAACTGTAAACCTTATGGGACGAATTTGATTCGCAATACCAATGATGACTATGCTAGTGATGCCTTCGTATATCAAAACACTGGAAAAATAATGTAAGGAGGAAAAGAATCGAGCTGAAAAATATCGAACCCGCAATCACATTTTAGCGGCTGAGGGCGTTGACGTTCACAGATAGTACGGTTTCTACTAACGCAAAATCTAATACCCACAACTTCTATAGTACTCATTCCTCATAGACCAAATGCAAAGCAAAACACCGAATTTACCGTCCAAATAACCAAGTATATTTTGGGAGCATATCGGAGTGCCAAATGGCTCGGATGCTTGATCATGGGCCTCCAGCTAAACAAGGCTCCCTACAAAGTGAGGGTCAGTATCCGATGTTCACTGGTGAATGCTATGGCCAATAATTTCAGGGATATATACCAACCGTTACGGGATCCTCATCTCTGGCCCTATCCCAATATATATAATACATGTGATACAATACCAAAATTTCACCAGCTCAGTGGTGGTATGTCTTTGAACAATAATTCGTCAAGATCAACAGGCAAGGGGTGATAATCAAACGATAAATTAGTACAAACAATTACAGGAGAGAAATGGTTAAAAGAAGTAGATCGCATTTCTAGCCTTTAGTTGTTTGTTTTAATTTTGTAAGTCGATTCTTCGAAGATGAGTTAGTTAGGCTGCTTCTATACTTCAGCCTGGCCCACCTATCCTGTTGTCTACGCGATTCTTAACACCACCAAAGGTATTGAAGGGAGAATGCAACTCTTGCGGCCACTCAAAGGCGTATTTATCAATTATGATATGAAGAATACAAAGACACAAAATAATACAACGGTGTAGCTCTCTCCATCATCTGCTTCAATCCGCACTAACAAAAAAGGATCATTGAAGATGAAGCGTCTGAAGTTCAATTTATTTCTTCTTCAACGTCCTACAAATTATCGCGCTGCTGATATGTTGATCTTGACTAGGCACTGTTTACAGACATATCACACCAGGTTGGTCAAACTTTTGGCATTGTGTTAAAAAGTCATATATATTGTGAGTAGGGCCGGTGATGAGGATCTAATTGCAAGGTAAATATTTATTCTAATCCCTTTGTCCTCTGAGTATAATAATAATAATCTGAGTATATAGGTGGTGGTTTTTTCTATATTGAGGTGATGAAACGTTTTTATATACAAGATGTGAGGGACATCCCAAATCAGCATGTCGCATCTCAGGCGAGAGTTCAAATAAACACAACTTGAAGGACAACTCAGCAATTTAAAAGGAATTTGGGACATTGACATTTATGGACTGAGGCAATAAATTAATTCACAGTGTGAGTTAAGTGAAATTTCGCTCACTACATTAATGAAGCATATTATTAGGACTCCCATAAGCACAGATCACTATAAGGACAGATCAATATTTATATTTATTGGTAATAAATAACCTTTCCACATCGAGAAAGTGTCGA